TTCCCTACTCGAATGTCTGTTGAAACTTGTCGCTAATTCATACTATTTCCTGTGACGAAATCGTTCGCAGATTTACGCCTTTGAGCTCACCTTTTTTTGCCTTTCAGCACCAAGGATGATCCTTTCTTCTCTCTGAAACTGTTCAACCCGTCGTAATAGACTTCACAGACTTATACTCTAGGAAATTCTACGGGGCACCCAGCGTTAGTGATTTTTTTTGGTGATACTGCTTTGCACAGTTGCTCATGTTTTCCATGCTTTCTCCTTCTCAGAACGTTGAGTTGCTGCTTTGGGTCTGATGGAACCACGATCTCAGGGAGTATCTAGTGACGTAAATGTTTCTGGTGCCCATGATCACCACATTGATAGCAATTTAATGGCAGACCCATCTGCAGCATGTAATCTGTGTGGAATAATCGTTCAATCTGCTGAGCTTGAAATTTTTAGCTTATGTGGGGACTGTAAATTTTTGTTGCTCGAAAATTTGGGCACCCCCATGCTTCACTCACCTCGGAGACAGACAACCAGGAGGAGGACAAGAAGGAGAAGAACTAGACATAACAGCTCTGAGTCGATCGGAGATCTTCCCTCAGAACAATTTACTCGTTTGATAAGTGTGGCACGACAGAGCCTACTAGTGGCAAATGGATATGAGGATCAACGTGCTGATGGTGAGGGTGTTACCAGGATGCTACAGCGAACTAGCTCCCATACAACTCCAAGTGGTTCTAGAAGATGGAGAAGGGTTTTCTCTGACACTGAAAGTGAAGATTTTGATAACTTAGATTCTCGTTATGGTGAAACTGAATCAAATATCAGTTTTACTCAATCCAGGTTTTGGCATGGTGATACCGATGCAAATCCTTTTAGTGCTTATGGTGGAGAGTCTGATGCTTCCACCGACAGACGTGGTTTTCCGGACACCGGGATCCTTGTTCAACCATATGGCGGGAGTGACCTTGACATTGACACTGATATTGACCCGATGCGTGCTGGTTTGAGCCAATGGTACTCAGATGAAGAAGATAGGGAATGGGAAGAGACAGATGCCGAGGATGGAAGGGCTACAAGGGGTATTGCCGGAACACAGTATAGGAATTATTTGGCAAGTCCAAGTGAGAGCTACAGCTCCATTACCCGTAGCCAACGGTTTGATTCTCCGGAGTTCGAGAGAGATATACGCCAGAGAACTGTAGAGAGTAGGCAAGTCTTATCAAGGAACATCAATGGTTTCGAGGATATGGATTTCTCTCTACATGTTGCAAATGCTGGGGATTATCTTGATGATAGAGGCTTTGGGGAATTGCTTGAGCAACTTGCTGAGTCTAACAATTCAAGAAGGGGTGCACCTCCTGCATCTGCGTCCTTTGTGAGGAATCTGCCAAGGGTTATCATCCATGAGGAGCAATTAAAGGACAATGATGGGCTAGTCTGTGCAATCTGCAAGGACCTTTTTGCTATCGGTAGCGAAACCATCCAGCTTCCTTGTATTCATCTCTACCACACTCGGTGTATCTTACCTTGGCTAAATGCACATAATTCGTGCCCACTTTGCCGTTATGAACTTCCAACTGATGATAGGGATTACGAAGATGGAAAGCATAATGCCATTGGACAGAGAATCACGGATCAGGACGTAATCGAAGATAGCTCTTCTGGTGAGGACACTGAAGTGGAGGAGGGAGAGACAACTGCTGAGACTGATCCTGTACATGGAGAGAGAGACGAGAGTGACTCGAGTGTAAGGAGAGGAAGCTGGTTGTTCCTGGCTGCCGCACCAGTTGTCAGTCTAGTAGGCATTGTATTGGCAATGGTGCTTAGCAACTCACAGAGAAGAGAGATGGGAAGCTCTCATAACCAAAGAGGAAACAGGAGCAGACGATGGTTGCCTTTTTCCTGACTGATTTCTAGACTATTCCAATTACCAGCTGATGATTAGTTTCACGGCTTGTCCATAACTGTGGATCTTGCCCCCCGCCCTATATCTATTATAATTTGTATCCCTGGATGATGGATGGTGACCAGATGCTTGTATCATGAAAGTTTCTATGTATATTTTGGTTTAACTGAAATCAAATTTGTGGGGAAGATTATCTTGTGAGTTGGATAACATTTAGCAGCAGTACAAGGCTTAATTTAGTCGGGAGTTTGTTGCAAATTGTCTAGCGGTGATCTCAAAGAAGGTAACCTACTGCTGCTGCTCCGTCACATGCTTATGTATCACATCACATTTGTACACAGAACGTGAGAAAAGCTCGGTTTGATTCTTGACACCGTATTACAGGAAGACGTGGATAGGCAAAACGTCAAACCATTCCGTCCCCATCGTGCAGAGAAAATGGCTCTATAGAGATTATAACACAGTATTTTTTTTTCATATTAACAGGTAAATGAATCGGCCAGAGATGAAGAAGAGATTAATCTCGTATGAGAGAGATTAGAGGGCAGTTCAGAAGAGTAGGGTGACATACAGAATCATCCATCCAGCCATTGAGAAAATCGCAAAAATATGAACCCAGAAGAGGACAGACGCTGACTCCCTTCCACAGCCTCGTAGATTTGCAACAGCACCTGCAAAGGAATGGAATAATCGGCATGCAGGCGATTGGTTTCGCTGCTTCAAATTTCATCAAAAGAAAGAGAATGGGACGTTACCGGAGAGAACAGAGGTGGGCATCGTATGCTGAAGGAGTAAGACGAATCGGAACATCTTGTCGTCGGGAGGAAGGAAGCCAAGTTTGTCAGCCAACATGACAATTCCGAGTCCTGCTGGAGGAACCAACAACAACCGCGCAAATATAATTGTGGCTGTCGTCCTGAACCCAAGTTTTGAACTTCCTGGTCCTGAAATTTAGAAAAGAAACCGCGAAAAATGCTTCATAGACGCCGTTACAAACAATGGTGTAACAAAGGCAGGACGACATGAAAGAGAACATCTTACCACTTATTAGATTTCCCCCTAATGCCAGCAAGATGCAAGGTATCATCGCATCCCTGATAACCACACGTTGAAAGTTAATAAACCAGTAAGTGAATTTAGGATGACATTTTGAGAATTGAAAAGAAGAAACAAGAGTCTTGCCCGTTTACAATTATTTTTCTTCCCCTTGCTAGTATTCATATCGAGATTCAGTTTTTCAAGAATTCGGTACTCTGATCCCTAGAAACAAAGAATAATGTCCTTACCCAAGAATGATGCAGCTGTCAGTGAAGAAGAAAAGAGGAGCATCACTTGTAAATATCAGTTTCTTCGTGAAAGGTATCGCACCAAGGACCATAGCAAGGATCTGAAAGAAAGAAAGAAACGAAAAGCACATCAAGTCAAAGGGGCTTATTTCATCAAAGGGGTCAGAGATTGAAACTTCCAAAGCTGGAAATATACAAAAATGGAAGGACTCGGGTTGGGGTTCAACAAGAATCTTTTAGCATAAACATCGATCTGGCAAGCAAATGTAAATGGGAAACAGAAGGAAACTTACAGAAGCAATTATTGCAGGTTGAAGGATTTGCTTCAGTTTCAACTTTTCATAGAGAAAAATAAAGAACTCTTTAATCTGCATCACGAAGCAGATATGTGAACACATCAGAACCTGCGATGAGGGAGCCTGCACCAGAAAATACAAACCAAATAAATTCCTTTTCACCTTGCCTTTCTTTGATTCCTCTATTCTTGTAGTTTCGAAGCCCTGGCAAGGAAGAGGATCTTGAGCAGGTGGAGGGTCCTTCGGGGGGGTTTTAATTAACAACGGAACTTGCTCTGGAGCAGCATGTTTTGGAAGGTTCTTCATAGTTAGATTTTCTTCATCACCATCATACCCCTCTGGAGGAGGAGCAAACATGTGGTATACATATGTGTACAGGATGATTGCGCCAACCTGATACAAACACATCAAAGTTCAAGGCTAGTTAGCATCTCAGAAATGCTTTCAATGTCACAGGAAACTACAGGAGCATAACAACAAGCCCCTGAGCGCAGATATTATGAAGCAGCATTCAACTCCATAAACAATGCTGATAACTCCTAGATTGGAAAGCTGACATTGCAGATACAGTCTTGATATATCAATTTGCATTTTCTTCAAAACAGAGAAAGCCTAAGGTCATATAGAAAAGGAGCACCACGATTTGCAACAACGAAAGCTCATTTGAACTCTTATTCATGAAGCAAACTCTAAATGAACAGGGCTCATATGGAAAAAGACTATAGTTTAAAGCCTACAGGCATATCAATGAGGAAAAGGATACTGGAAAAGGTACCCATTGACCGAAGGAGATGTAAGCAGTGCCATCAGTGCTACATTTTTCGGAGTCGCCGAAAGGGTTGGACTTGTCCCTGCACAGAGCTGCTAGCAAAACAAGAGGGACATTTCCAATATTACCTGCAATAGATGATCGAATTCATGCATGAATAGAGACACTACTGATAGAATCTGCTTGGATAAGCAATGAAACAATCCTTGAGACGGAGAGTCCAAGAAAGAGAGGGGATAAAGCTGAGAAAGCCGCTCACCAACTCCGATTTGTACGATTGTGAACTTGAAATAAGGATAGGGTGGATGAACGATGCTAGCGACAATAAAACCTATTATGGAGCCAGAGATTGTTCCAAGAACAACGTTGACCGGAATGAACCACCTGAAGAGATGTACAAAAGAAGGAGACGAAACTAAAGTTTGCGCGGTGCCACCGAAACGCAATTAGAGCAAAGTAGTTTACTAACCATTGAAGCATTTTCTCGAGAGTGACGGCTTGCCCTAGTTGAGAAAATATCAAACAGGGAAGCAAAAGCGAGAATACCAACTGTATGAACAGGAAATTGAGAGGCTGAGAGCAACAATCAAGTGATGGGTTGATGGAAAAAAATGCAAAGTTTCCATTTTGAGGCGAGATCGAGATAGATAGATAGAGGAAATTACCCCATTCAAGAGTTTGCGACCGGAGGGAGGTAAGATGTTAACGTACTTGGAGGCCATAAGAAAACCCAAGAAGCACATGGTGAAAACTTTGGCAATAGGCAAAACAGCGATTTTGATAGAACCGAGGACGGATTCACCGGCGGCGGCAGGATTCTCCATGGAATCGGTCAAGGCCATCAGAAGACGCTCCATAAATCTGGAAGAATTGCGCAATCAAATAGAGGGTGTAGACGAAGATCATGTAATAGCGCGACTGGTGGGGAAGCAGAGTTGGGAGAGAAGACGGAAACTTGAGACTTTGTATCAATGAGAATCTGAAGACTGCGTCCGATCCGATAATCAGACTCTGTTAACTTTCTTTCCTTCCCTCAATGGCGTTTCGGATTCAGACCGCCCATTTAACGGCGGCTCCGTTATCTTGCCTCTTTTGTTACTTGTCATCTAATACCACGTGCTTCCTTCTGGATCCCCAATTTCATTCTTTTTTGGTAAAGCATTCGAACATCTCAAAACAGTCGAAAAAAAAAAGATTCGGGTCAAATCTCCACTCTTGTGCCTATCAATCAATTGACCCGCCTGGGGATTTTTTTTTATAGATATTTTGCGAAATGTATATTGTTTTTTTTTTTGTAATGCGAAATGTATATTGTTTGACAAACAAAAGTGCAATTATTAGAATTATTCCTACCTCGCGTATGATTTTATTCATCTCAGCCTTTTAATAGGTTCTTCATGAATTTATTATAATTGATGGGTAAAAACAGTATAAACAAATAATATTTTGCGAACAAGCTTGTCTCAAAGGCTTCATCTTATATTTGTAGTAGGTTCCTCTTTGCATTATCGTTTGTTGTAGATTATTTAGACAAATCCAAATCCAAACTGAGAAACAGATTCTAGAAGTAAATTATGGATAGATTCTTTGTTCATTGATTTTTTTTCGTACGATATTTTGATGTTCTAATTGAATGTATAAAGGCTTGAGGCTTCCTTGTCTTCGAAGTTGTTTGGTTTTCTTTGAGAAAGGTTACATTATAAGATGTATCATATATATTGTTCAACTGACGAATGAATGTATAAACGCTGAATGGTTAGATATTATTATCAGCGTGGTAACGACTAAAACAATGTTTGGTTCTATTAGTTTATCGTCACAGTAACGTAACATCATAAACATTGGTCGAGGGTTTTTAGCTAATATAGTATTGTCAAAGCCCAAGAACACTAATAGCAACAAAATTTGGCCACCGAAGACAAGGATCGATTAAATAACCAAAGGCAGGAGGAGATAAAAGAAATGTCCCGGCAATCGTACAAGAGCATATATCTGAGCATACTCAAGTTTACATGATTAGGTGTTTGGTTGATGCAAGACATTTACGTTTCGACTGTTGAGACTTGCCCAAAAAGCAAAGACTATATATATATATATATAAGGCAAATTCTTCCAATGAAATCATTTGGAGAATATTCCACTCACTCTTCATGCAGTATTCTCTCCATCATGCATGCATCATTCAAGGGATCTACTGCTACGGGTCTTAATTCCTTTTTCACCCACTGTAAATATATGTTCTTTACTATTTTCCTTGTTGCTTCCATTATACCGTTAGCGTTTTGTGTGTATATGTGAACATAATAAGAAATAGAAAATACAAGTGAGAAGAGAGTACAGAAACTAGTTCATATCTCTTGTCTTCTTCTTCGTTTCTATACTCATACAAACCTAAGTCTCAAATATCTTTAAGAAGAAGCGCTCTCTCTGCTTTTAAACTGCGGTGATAACTGATAACATAAACTCGTCAAAACCCCCGGTTCACCCATACGTATACCAAGTACCAACAGCAGAATAAGCCGTACCGTTGACGTTGATGGGTATAATTTCAATAAATAGTTTTCATTGAGGTATACATGTGTCGACGGCCATATATTTTCGTGGTTATAATGTAGATGCCAAGGAGGCCTTGCAATAAGCGATGGCTGCGTTGATGGAGTCCTCGTGTGTTTCTTCAAGCTGGACATTGTGAACTGGGGAACTTCCTCTGCTCCACTCTTTGTTTCTTCTTCTTTCTTCCATTTTCACCCATTTCTCTGCCACATTCTCTCTTATCATCCCCACTACACTCACACATCCCACTTTCATCATCATCCTCATTCCTATTATACTCTTTGTCATCTTCATTAGTCTCCTACATATACATTAATGCCACGCACATGCTTCAATCACACACGTCTGTTATTGTCATATATGCACATAGCGAGCCAGACCAATTTTAACTTCCGTAAAAAATGAAAAAGCAAACACAACATATATATAGTTCTAATCACCTGCGCAAAATTATATATGCAATATGTATACATATATAAATCCACACACGCATGCGTATTTAAGCTTACATGGCGGCGTGTGCAGAGAAGCAGGTGGGAGGCGATTCGAAGATGGGTGGCTTTTCAGTACCGAGAGGCCAAAGCAAGATGTTCAAGTCATCCGCGGTCTTGACGTTGATAGGTATAATTTCAATGAACGATTCATCGCCTCTCTCTGCTTCCTCATCCCTCAACTCCACGCCTTTCTTATCTTCGAATATTTCCCTTTCCATCGATCTTTGATATGAAACTGTGTGGATTGATTGTGTGTGTGTATATATATATATGCACGTGTATTTTTACGTGTGTGTGTGTATATAAAAAAAAATTGGCTGAAGGTACGTAATGTGTGTATATATATGTTTTGTAATCTTCCGTTAGTTGTAAATTCGGGCCATGATTGGTTGGGAACAGATTACGTATGGGATATAATAAGTTTTCTACACATACATGTAGGAAACAATATAATATTACAAGTGGTTGAAGAATACTTAACCGATCATGCATGTGAAACTGATTTTATTAAGAGGAATCTGGTGAGATTTTCGAATCAAGATCTCTATATGAGTTGTTCGATCCATATATATATATATATATGTATCATATATAAGTCCATTGCTTTTGTATGTGTTTTATTAATGTAATATACAACTTTCTTTGTAATGTACAACTATAAAGAAATACTGTTAAAATTATATTAAATCTTATATAATATTTAGCATATTCTTTACATACTCTTTTGATATGAATCATTTTTAACGAGTCCAATCTTATGGTTTGAAACCAAGGTCTTGACGTGGGGCGGTGAGGTTTGAGGTGAGAGGATTGTTTGGCGTGGAGCTGTGGGATCAAAGTTATTCCGAACGAAGGCGACAATTGAGATTTCGACGTTAATTGTTTTTATCTTCTTGTAATGTGTTTTGTTAATGTAATGTGTAACTTAATTTATAAAAAAAAGCGTAGTATAAAATCCTAAACTAAACCATATATATTCAGGTAGTAAGAAGATGTTCTTATATCAATGACGTGTTACACATTATATTTAATTCCACATGAGGATTTGTGCGCATCAAATCGGAATCTTTAGTTGGACACTGGTAGCTAAACCATCAATCATCAATCTCTTTAAGTCAATATCAAATGGCCGAGATTTGTATAGATTTTGCTAGTGTCTCGTTTACTCTAGATAAAAAAAAAAAAGAATGTATAATCAGCTAAGATAAATCGAAAACCCATTCTAGGATATATAATTGGACCAAAAATTCGATTAACTTTAGGATTATAAAAAAAATGAAAACAATAGCACCAACTACTATGAGTTGAATGGTAATTTTTTTTCAAATATTCGAAAATCAATAAAAGATAGATATTATCATTATAAGACTGCCGAAAGCACGTAATGATTGGATGCACATCGGCATTGGCTTAGGTTTCTAAAGAAATTTTTTTATACGTGAACATGATTCATCCCATGGTCATTTATTTCGAATGAATTACTAAAGAAAATAACTAGAGGAACCAAAAAAGAAAGAGAGTCCAACAAAGGAGAGGGTGGGAATTGGAAGTGCATGTAACCTTGGGCTGAAGCCCAAAGTGATCCCCGAGTCTCCGGAAAGCTCTTCTTCGTCACTGGCCCTCTAGAAACTTACCGTCTTCCTTCCCTGCCTTCTGCTCCTTCTCGGCGTCTTTGTTTTCTTCGTCAATCCAACGGTATCGGATCTGATTTTTGCGTTTTGGTTCCGATATTTTCTCCATTCATAGCTATGGGTAGCTCCGACTGTGACGGCTTTAAACTGGGTAGCTCCGATATTTTCTCCACGAGTACGGCTTTAAACTGGAGGACCATCCATCGCCGTTATCGTCTTGGATGGTTGGGGCGAGTCCGATCCCGATCCATACAACTCTGCATTCGCAATGCCCCCACTCCTGCTATGGATTCCGAGCACTCGGCCTTTAGGATAGGTTTGCTTCTCTCTTACTCGTGGTCATCTTTACAACATGTATCCCATAATATCGTATAATATCGTAAAAAAGAAAGCGTGAGACGTAGACAGGGGAAATCTTCTAGCAACAAGAGAATGACATTCCTCTCTGGCAGTCTTGGCTTCTTCCCTACGAGGATATAACAATGGATGCCCGCGAAGTCCATACAAAAATAATGATATTTGTGTAAATGGTCACAACAAATGCTCACAAATTTCCGCGGCGTATTAATGAGAGTTACAGGTTGTCTGCGCACAGAACACCAGTTTTGGTGAATGTAAACCCTGCGGTCCTTTATTAATTAAGCTTTCATTCTTCCCCCTTCAACTCCGTCGCCTCCACGACTGGTGGTATGCAATCCACCTTATATCGGAGCGTCTTTTCCCACAAAGATAAATGGAGAAAGTATGGTTAGTGGAAACAACAACAAAGAAACTAGAAAAGTAAAATGGATCTACTGCAAGGTTGATATTCATTATGTGCCACAACCTGTAACCGTCAACCCACCTTTTTGAAAAAAGTTGAATAAGAATTATCCCAAACAAGTTTGTAGTTTCCGGGCATGCACGTAGAGAAGTTGCCCTGCAGAAGCAACCACCGAAAAGGCTAAGAGTTGCAACCTTTCAATCAAGCAGCTCTGTTGGACAAGATTAGCATATGCTTTCCCATGTTCTCACCTGATCAGCTTCATACCGCTGGTAAGGTAATATCAGCTGCAATACGATCGTCCACGCCACCCATCAGAAAATCCAGCTAAAGAAATCTACGAGATACTCTGGAAGAAGAGTGAATTGATACAATGCGTGAGAAAATAATGTGCACACTTACAGTCTTTTCCCCAGAAGCCCCTATGCACTCCACCCTAAATCCAATATCCTGACGAGACAGGTGAAACATCATCAGACAGTTTCAACAAGGAATGTCCAGCTAGGGTTCAGAATGACAAGCCAAAACCAAGGGCAGATGGTTCCTAACAAGAAATACGATAGACTTAGAGAGAATGTGTTTTGAATTGCAATCAGAGATAAGAAAGAAAATTAATTTACACTTATTAAATAGTCAATATAGCTTCATAGGAGAGACCAGTAGAACCCAGGGCAAAATCATTCTAGCAAGGAGGAAGCAAAATCAAGAAAGAGATGCAGCGGATGATACTAGCAAGGAGGAAGTAAAACAGTACCATGCTTATCTTGCCTTGCACCACCGAGAAATCCCAAGCAATATATGAATTCACGGATTCTACTGTCAAGGAGACCTAAAGGAACAATGTGAACGAGTGAATTAGTGTTATACGTATGCCAATGATGCCAGAGCCAACAATTGTCGGCTTGATGGTGTGCTTTGAAATGCGTTTATGCGCACATCAACCAATAAGGCATTTCCATCAATAATGCTCTAGGTAATTAATAGTTCCATTTACAGCATTTCTCCATGTCTCTTGACAGAGATAGCTCTGTGATAAAAATAACGCAAAATTGTTACAAGAAATAGGCACATTCAGTTTCATCAACATATAAAAGCGTAAAATGGATTACAATTTACAATACCTCACACGTCCTCCCGGCTTGAACAATTATCTCCTTATACTCCTCATTTTCCCTGGGTAGTATATACTCTTAGGACTAGAAATTGTAAACAAAAACGAGAGCATTAAAATTCTTGGAAGCTAACCTTGAACCTGAAGCGCCAGCTACATCAGCTGAAATAAAGAAGGGGGAGTTGGCAAAGACATTGCTGGAATAAGTACAATGGAAAAATGGTAGTTAATGTTTCATGGTATGAGCCAAGCTTTGTTGATGACTGATGAAATAAGGAAGGAAATATCAGAATGAAACTGAAAGAAACGAAAAAATCTCCATTTACTATACTTGAAAAGAAAAATGAACTCTACGGGGACATATAGAATCTCCCCCTTCAACATGAAGCTTCGAAAAGTGGATCCCCCCCCCCCCCCCCC